CTCTGCTGCCAAAGACCTCTTTAAAGTGTTAGAAAGCAAAGATGTCACTTTGAAGACTGAGGTGCGCCTGACCCAAGCCGTGGTATTTTCAATTGCCTGACATGCATTTGAAAGTTAGACAGTGAATAAGGAAAGCCAAAGAACTGATGCCTGATTGATGACTTTGAATTATTGAATTACGGTGTTGGCGAGGAATACTGAATATGCCGTGGACTGCCAGAGGAATGAAGAAATCTGTCTTGGAAGAAGTACAGCCAGAATGCTCCTTAGAAGCAAAGATGGCAAAACTTGTCTCACATACTTTGGACATGTTATCAGGAGGGACCAGTCCCTGGAGAAGGACATCATGCTTGGTAAAGTAGAGGGTAAGCGAAAAAAGAGGAAGACTCTCAATGAAACAAGATGGATTGACACAGTGGCTGCAACAACGGGCTCCAATGTAGCCTCAATTGTGAGGATGGTGCAGGACCTGGCAATGCCCCGTTCTGTTGTCCACAGGGGTCGCTATGGGTCAGAACCAACTTGACAGCACCTAACAACCTAACAATCACAACTCTCTACATTAAGGATAATTTCCTCCTTCAGTTCACAAATCTTCTGTTTAGCTATGTGTAATATGATGTTTCACCCATCGTAAGGATTTAATTTCAATAGCTATTTTAAGAATAAAAATTGGCTGGACAGAGTGGGAGAAAAATGTAGAACATAATTCAAACTCACAAGAAAAGATTGGACTTACTGGTCTGACAGAGAATGGAGAAACCCCGAGAGCTTGGCCCCCGAACACCCTTTTAACTCAGTACTGAAATCACTGCTGAGGTTCACCCTTTAGCCAAAGATTAGACAGGCCTATAAAACAAACAATAGCACAGCAGATCACACATGTATAGGAGACTAAATGGGCACATCAGCCCAGGGTCAAAAATGAGAAGGCAGGAGGGGACAGGAAAGCTGGACAAATGGAAATGGGGAACCTGAGGTCAAGAAGGGGAAAGTGTTGACATGGCGCAGGATTGGCAACCAATGTCATGAAACAATGTGTATTAATTATTTAATAAGAAACTAATTTGCTCTGTAAACTTTCACCTAAAGCACAATAAAAAAATAAATAAAACATAATAAAAATTTGTTTAAGTCTTCTACATTAATATCAATGTTTTGTTATTCTGCTGTATCTAATCCTTTTTATTCTCTTTAATCAACTTTAATGTTCTAATATTTTAATAAACTATTTTAAGAACAGTTTTTGAGTTACCTAAAAATTTGGAAGATAGTACAGAGATTCCAATGCACCCCACGCTCAATTTCCCCTATTATTAGTAACTTGTATTCAAATGGTAAATTTTTTATAATCAATGAACCAATATTGATATGTTATGAACTAAGTCCATAGTGATTTAGATTTCCTTATGTCCTTTTTCTGGTCCAGTATCCTAACCAGGATACCACATTACATTTAGTCATCATGTCTCCGTAGGTCCATCTTGACTATGACAGTTTTTTAGATACCCTTCGTTTTTGATGACCTTGACAGTTTCGAGAAATACTAGTCAAGTATTTTGTATAATGTCCCTTAATTGAGATTTGTCTGATCTTTTTCTCTTGGTTAGACTGAGGCTATCAAAATTGGGAAGAAGATCACAGAGGCAAAGGCCATTTTCGTCAAATCATATCAAGGGTGATTATCAATACACCTTATCACTGTTGGTGTCGACCTTGACCACCTGGCTGAGGTAGTATTTGTCAGGTTTCTCCACTGTAGAGTTCCTCTTTTTTCCACCTTTCCATACTCTACTCTTTGGAAGGAAGTCATTCTGTGCGGCCCACATTTAAGTGGTAGGTTATGTTCCATCTTCTTGAGGGTTGAGTCTCTACATAAATTCTTTGGAATTCCTTTGCACAGTTTATCTCCTCACCTCATTTATTTATTTAGTCAATTATTTATATCAGTATGGACTCATGTATGGATATTTATTTTATACTCTGGGTTATAATCCTACTTTATTTTGTTGCTCTAATTGTTTCATCTTTGGCCATTGGGAGCCCCTTCAGTTGTCTCTGGTGTCCTTTGTCAGGTATCAACAAACTGATTCTAAAGTTTATATGGAAAGACAAAAGAGCTAGAATAGCCAACACAATGGTGAAAAAGAACAAAGTTGGAGGACTTACAATTCCCAATTTCAAAACTTACTGTAAAGCTGCATTATATGCCAACTATGATGAAATGTCGCTCCTTGATTACATTATATGAAACTCTGTCTTGCTCTTGCAGTCTCTGTCTGTAAATCTCTCTGTCTCTCTCTTTCCATTGCTGGCTTTCAATAAGAAAGCTGCCACGACGACTACGGCTTCAGGAAATGATTCTGACAACAATCTGTGGGAGCATGGAATCAGATTCTCCTCCAGGAGAGCCTCCAATGAAAACTCAACCGTGATCAACACCCTGATTGCAGCCTTGAGGGACCCAGAACAGAGGACCAGCTAAGCTGTGCTCAAGCTCCTGGCCTACAGAAACTGATAAAATAAATTTTTTTTTTTAAGCTTTGAAGTTTGTAGTAATTTGTTACACAGCAATAGAAAACCAATACAAGTGGAAAACCTCAGTTAAGTACTAAGTACTTTTATAAGGACCTAAAAGAACTTTCCAGAGGTTACCTGAGGTTTAATAAAAATCTGATTCTGAAATAATCATTTGAATTAATAGAGGAAGGGAGGGAGGAAGGAAAGAGGAAGAGAGAGAGGGAAGGAGAGAAAGAGATTAGATGGATAGACAGATAGATAGGTAGATAGATTAGATAGGTAGATAGATAGGTAGATAGATTAGATAAGTAGGTAGGTAGGTAGACGATAAGAATTCTATCACTGAAGAATAACATTTTTTTTTTATTTCAGAAAGGTATCAAATTTTGATTTTATAGCCCATAATCCTATAAGGAAAAAGGATATAAAATAATACTTTTGTGAGGATTCAATATAGTCGTTATGTATTGTTTACTGTGCTTAGATTGTATACTTCCATAAATACTTACACTTTATGATCAGCACATGCAAACCACATCCAAGTTTGATTTCTTCAATGCAAACTGGGATTTTTAATACTGTTTGGATCATACAGCTAAAAGTATTGCAAACTGGCTGGTAATGAATAAAAACTCATTTCAGAAAACAAAGTTCCAACCTGTTGACATGTTGTGGTTCCTTCAGTCACATGAGAGAGTAATGACTCAATATGCTTGGTTCCAGTCAGGTTTATCAAATGCAACTCGAGAAAGATGCATTTTCGTAATAATTGTCAATGCAGTTCACCAATATTGCATATTTGACAACTCTGGGTTGAAAAAACCACTGCTTTCCTTTTCCCAGTAACTTACATCAAACTGAGTCACTGTGCACCAGAAGATGAGAGAAATAAAATCTAAAGCCCCAGTGAGGTAAGACTCAGTCTGAAAAGCTGTGCTGTGAGAAATTTACTCACATTTCCACTAAACAACAGCTAATTTTCTCACAGCTTGTGAACGCATAAAACATGACATATCCTTCCTTCCTGTACCTTGGTTAACCAGTGTTCCCCCCCCCCTCCTGCCCCAGAACATACCTAACTCTTAGCTCTAACTCTTCTTATCATAAACTAAAATGAAACTTACTACACCCCTTCTTTACCCCCATTCCAGGTTTAACCTTTACTGTGATTCAGAAGCAACAGATACTTCATTTAGTAACCAGTGAAGCTTTGCCATCTTCTGGGTGCTTTGGAATGATAATTTTCTATATAGTGTCCAGGAACTTTCAAAAAACTAATTCCTTTTCCGAAAACACAAATTCACACAATTTTCTTCCTAGACAGACACCAATGGAGCTGAGCCCATGTTCCACATTTTAGCCCACTTATTATATTCTTGTAATATTCCTTACTTGCTTACTTCTTTTCACATGTACACAATGATGGAAAGATGTCTCACTTTGCATTAGTTACACTGAATTTAACACTTAAAGCCTCCAGAAAAGCAAATGCCCTATGGTCTGCTTTCCCAGATGACCTGTGATAGTTCTGAGTACTTTTCACATTGTAGAAGACTTCTAAGTCATCTTTCCTCAAATAAACATATTTCTTCCCACTAAATTTCAGAGAAGTAAGACTAGCAGGCTGCCTTCGTGTAGGCACATCTTTACCTTGATAATTCTAGTCTACAAAGAGAAGTAAGCAGTACCAGTTGGATCACAAACAGTTTTCAAGCCCTTGTTGAAAATAACACATCCATAACTATGCAGTTATTAATAAGCCCATATCTGAAAACTTGCTTGTGGAAGCCAGGAGAGCCACTGTAAATATGTGTTTGTTTTGCTAGTTACTAAAGACAATATCCTAATCCATGAAGCACGTACAATTATACATTTGAAGTCTTACTGTTAGAGAAAAAAATTTGTGAGGATATCTACACAGTACCAGCAAAAGAATAAACAATATCAAGAAAGACTAAGAGGAAAAGCTAGAGCCAAGAAAAACTAGCTTCCAGATACAGCCCTGCCACTAACTGTGTGACCTTGAGAGCTTCTCTGAAATCCTGCTTCCTTGTCTAGCCTAACACCTGCCTACAGTTATTGAAAGGATAACATGTATTGCATCTTTAACCTGTGGCACAGTGGTTAAGTGCTCGGCGGCTAACCGAAAAGTCGTTTGTTTGAACCCACTAGCCACTCAGTGGGAGAAAGATTTGGCAGTCTGCTTCTGTAAAGCTTTACAGCATTGGAAACCCTAAGGGTCAGTTCTACTCTGTTCTATAGGGTCGCTATGAGTTAACTTACTAGGCATCAATAAATCATAGACATGCTTGTCATTGTTCCTGGGAACAATGCAGCACGCTGTCTTTCCTCTGAATGACTCTCACTCAATCATCTCATCACCCAGTGGATGCTTCTGGGTCCCAAGGATTAATAGTAAGTAGGTTATAATTACAAATCTTTTCATGTTTTATTTCCCTGGGCGTCTTCATCCTCCTCTCTACAAAAATTGTTTTATTTCTCTCAAAATGATAAATCTCTTGGACTACTTAGAAGTTTACTGAAGTGTAGTAGTCCCACTCAAAGCCAGTTGTCTCTCCTCCCAACCACACACATACACACACAGAGTTTAAAATCATTAAGGATTATTTATTATATAGTCTGAATTATCTACTCTAGAGTATAAGTAGCAGCAGCTGCATCACCAGGACAGCAAAATCATGTGCTTTAATATTACTGAATAAAAATGTGATTTCAAGTGTAGATGTAATATGATACTAACATAACTAATACGCAAAAAAAGAGCTGAGATAATAACTATTTGGGATATATAATATAAAATGAGGGATGATGTGAAAAAAATATACAGGGGGAAAATCCTTTCCCAATTCTTAATTTTGCAGACTTTAGACATTTGTAGCAAAAAGTATCACACTCAAAAAAATCACAAAGGTGCAGGATTTTGAGAGTTCTTCCGGATTTGTTATCAATGTTCGGGCAGAACAAAAGTTGAATCAGGCAAGAAAAATGAGATTCTTACCATTTTTGTTAAGACTGCCTATAAAAAAAAAGAGAGAGAGAGAGATCTTACTGGAATCTTCCTCAATACTTATCTCAGACCAACAACCACTTTCCATGTTTCTCATAAAGCTTAGACCCTTCCATTAAATCTTAAACTCCCTGCTGTATTGTCACAGTGGACATGGAAAATGTCTGATGGTCATCTTTGGTTGGACATACACATTCAAAACTGTATATTATAAAGCATCCCTAGAGGTTACTGAACTTAAGCAAACCTAAGGTTTTGTAACAAACCAATTAACCCATGGAAGGTATTCCAAACAGTTATATTCTCTCAGATCCTTCTTCAAATTTAACACCAAAAAGTTCTCAGCATGAACAATCTGGAAAACAATAAGCTTGCCTCTATCAGCAACATTAAAGTGAACATCAACTTTTGTTAATTTTTTTTATTATCTAATTTATTACCAGATTTCCCTAAAGTCTGCTCAGAACTTGAGCTGGTCTGGTTGAAAAATGATTTAAGAAGCAAAAAACAAAGACACAAAAGTTTAAATAAAGGTCACTATTGCTGTAACATGGGATGTCAGTTTCTCAGTCCATCTGAGAAGTTCCGTCAGTAGCACTTTCCCACTAAACTGGGTGGAGTTAATCCAGACGGGTCTAGAGATACTTCTGAAGTAAGCTAATGGGAAAGGACACCGGAAGCGGTCAAAAGCGACTCTCTTCCTCTTCTACGGGGCGGTGAAGGCCAGGGATGAACTTCAAGAGTTGTTTCCGGACACTTCCTCGTCTGCTCTTCCGGGGCAGGGTCCCAAACATGCTTGAGAAATTGCCCTCACACAAGGGAGACAGGGACCCACTGCTGGCATTGCTGACGCTCCGGTTCCTCCTCCACGAAGACTTCCTCAGAAAATCGTCCCCATCCTTGGGGACAAAGCACTCGTCATCTGTGCTTGTCTGCCGGCTGAAGGACCCCCCGCTAGAGTCCTCAGACCCGCACATCTGATAGCCGTCCTCGCTGTCCATGGTCACGGAGCTCAGCCAGCTCTTACAACTGCTTTCACTGGATAATCGATTTCGGTCCACAAGGGCTGGGCCCGGCCCAGGCAGCGTTCCAAACAAAGACGATTCATCTATGTCCATGTTTTCCAAACTTGGGCAGTTAGCTGCATCACCTAGAATTCAGAAAACAAGTCTACTGTGGAATGGATCTACAAATAGTTACACCTACAAATAAACACACCAGAATTTACACCAAATTACACTACAAAAAAAATGAATAACACCCTGCAAATGAATACACCGAATTTTCTCTTAGAAAGGCACAAGGACGAACAGTATCTTTCACTGAGCTTTTACTTGTGTAAAGTGTTTATGACACCACTTGATAAATCTTAATGTAAGTTTTCCCAAACTATTTTTCATGGACATAGTTTCCATGTAAGGGAGTTCTGTGGTCAAGAAAATTATAGTTCTAGATTAAATTTATTCATATGAGAATAGTTCAACCAAGAGTATGCTGATGGGTTTTGTGGCTCTCTAAAAGGAAAATTTCCCAGAATTAAGTAACCATGGAACCTTTAATTAGCATTCTCACAGAAATGAGGTTCTAAAGAATGCACTCTGGGAAATACTATCTTACAGATTTCTCCATTTAGTTCCTCTAATTCTTAGTTATAAAATCATTTGAAGTGGAGGGGAAACACAGCTCTAAAACCTATACCTGTAGACCTATTATAGAGAATTCAAAGATGTTTAAAAATAGAGAGGATTTATGAAATCAAATATTTATCTTTCAACCTAAATATTGTTAAGTTTCCTTAGTACTTTAATGCTCTGTAAAAGCACTGTATCCAGAAAAGATCCCTGTCTTCAGTCAAGTAATAATGTATTTGAGGAAACTGAATTTTAACTGCTTGGCTGAATTCTTTCATCAACCTTTCATAATGAACATCTGGGCTCTCCAAACTCAAATTTTACTCACACACCAACTTCCTGTCCATACCCTACCTGCTTCCTCACTATTTGAGTTGGTTGGCACGCTGGTTAAAGAAAGAAAATAATTATAATACCAACCCGAGGAAAATGTAATTAGAAGGTAACTCTGCTTCAGAAAAAAAACAGAACACTGCACACTCAGAATAGTTTTACTTTATGCTGATAGCTCTACTGCTGTTCCAGACTGTCCTTGGTTGACAATATACAAACTGCCTTTCCATTTGATCTGCAAGGCTGAATATGACCAGCCCTGCAGTGACTAATCATAATGTTTTCCTGAGTGGTGCAAATGGTTAAGCACTCAACTACTAGCTGAAAGGTTGGTAGCTTGTACCCACCCAGAGGTGCCTAGAAGTAAGGCGTAGCAATCTGCTTCTGAAAGGTCACAGCCTTAAAAACCTCTATGGAGCACTGCTGCTCTGCACACATGGGGTCACCATGAGTCAGAATCAAACTCACTGGCAATCAGTAACAACAATAGAAAAAGCAGACCAAAGAACTCTCTTAACCTCTCAAAAAATGCATACAACAGTGGCCTTCTAAGAAGTCAATCTCCTTGGGCAACGATATAGACAAGACCGTTCCCATAGAAGCTTAGGACTGCCAAACCCCACCTCCACTCCAAGGTGTTCCAGAAGTGGAGGCAAAGGTGTCCCCAACACCCGTTTGTTTTCAGAAATCTAGAGATGGCTGAAATACAGAAACTGCAAAGATTTTTTGTATCTCTGACTCACTAACAAACTTCTGTCCCCAAGAATTCTATTGTGAATTTTTTTAAAAAAATGAGTTAAAAGCACAAAAAAGAGAAGTAACTAGTACATATATTTCAAATACTTGTTTTTTAAAAAACAGAACTTCGACATAAACCTCTAAGCCATAAATCAATATCTACTCAAGGATTAAATTGTACTTTTTTCTGTAACCAAATAGATTATCACTTTTAACAGATATTGTAGGTTATAAATAGAGACTTTAGTGTGGTGTCATCTGAAGAAGATATAACCTATATTTCACACCCACATAGCTGATGATTTCTGTGAATTATTTGTACATGCAAGTTCATTTTCAGGTTACACCAGTCACACAGTAAATGTCAAATCAACAGATTTAAAACTCAACTCTCCCCTTCAAAATGCACATAAAGGCAAGAACCATACACCTGCTGTTCTAATAATCGTACACATTTCTACCTTGCTTTTGGTGGCCGTGAAGAAGGATTTTTTTTATACAAATGGAATTTACACAATTTGAATAAACGACAGGCACTCCACCTGAGAAGTAGGCAACCATTCCAGCCTCACTAGCTTCTGAGAACTACACGGTCTCCATACCATGAACCTTCTCGGGAATTTAACTCATCTGCTGAACTAGTAGGAGACTCAAGCAATATTTCCTACAGCTCTCCTCACATCTCCAGGTGTCTCTTGTGTTCCTGTGCATGCATGTGTGTGTCTGTATGCATACTGTGCTATGTGTTGACTTACCCTTCCTCCTAACACACAGGTCACTCCAGACATCACTCCAAAGAAATACAGACTAGTATCCTTGGTCGGAACTAGGCAAATTTTTCTTGTAATGATGATAATCTTAAAACAACTTAGGGGCAGAAATACTGAAAGGATGAAATGTTACTGTGATGTGTAAACAGGAAATCACATTTACCATGAAGAAGGCGCTGTTCCTGTAACTGCAGAGATCTGAACTCCACCCATTTTTTTTTCAAAGTTTGCTGTGAGAAAGAAGAAAAAAGTGCTAATTATTAGGAAACACAGTGAAGATAGCAATTTACTTCTAGGTGCTGATATTTGTCACTAAATTTCATTCTCTTCTTTCCGGTAGTAACTATGCCTCCCCATTCATTTGAAAGATTTTTGCTGTATAAATGGAGGTACTGAGAATACACTTTCTCAAGAAACAACCCAGTAGCTCCTGAAAGCATTTTTCTTCTTTTTAAAAAAATAGAAACAATGAAACTTATTTATTTATATTTTTTAAAAATGTAATAGATTGCTTGGTTTTCAAATCCACATACTAGCTGTTTAGGCAAGCAGTTACACTCTAGTTCTCCCCCATCTGTAGGATGAAGACAATAATAGAACATAAACCCTGGATTGTCATGAGACTTAAATGAGTGAATACATGTAAAATGTTTAAAACAGTGGCTAGAACATAGTAAATGCTCAGTAAATATCATCATCAACCAACGACCTTGGGGTACTACCATAGTCTTTTCTGCTGGACATCTATTTATTTTCCATACACACAAAAACGAAGCAGACATGGTCTGAAATGCTTCCTTCAAAGGCTAAACTTAGAACACTGCTAAACACCCCGACTTCTCATCTGCTTCCTTCCTAGGCTTCCCCAGCACATGAGAGTGTAGGCCCAAGGTGGTAAATAAGTGGCTGCTGTAACAGTGAAAACTGCATGGCCTGGCCCAGCCGATAGAAGGGAGCTGAGGCAATGGAAATCGAAAGCAAACCAGACATCTGGCAAAACACAAAGGTTCACTCTTTGTCTTGCTCCTTTTCCTCCATTACACCCTTCCCTTGACATTCCAGGTCACTGGAGCAAGCCCAGCAGGTGGGCACAGCTCAGACTTGTCTATGGATACTTATCCCGAAGTAAAGATAGCCTAGTTGGAAACCAACAGTCCTCTATATAAAGTAGTCTGGAAAGGTGTAGATGAGAGCTACAAAGGAAGAAAAAAAAAGTACATCTGGGAGGGGAAGGCCTAAGGGAAAGAAAATAATGAAATTACAAAACATCATTAAACGCTTAAGGAACACAGCTCTCCAGGAACTGAACAATCTCTCGGCAAGATTTTCCAAGCCTTCATAACAGTAACATTTAGCAGCAATCCTTGTGGTTTCCAACATGATACATAAACAATAGATTAAAGCAATACAATGCCTGGCCAAATTAATTTCTTGTTCTTTCTATATTATAATAATGGCTATAAGACCTTTGCGCTACCTTAATCACAGTTCTTGCTATCTGTGTAAACCGGTGGTCACGTGAAGGTCAGGGTAAAAGACCCAGGGAGTATAGGACTAACAAGGAGCTGCCGTATCTACCAACTCCTTCTTCTCTCTCAAAGGGGTTTAACTCCTGCAAAAAAATAAAGTCCAGCTGGGAACCATAAGGCTAGACTGATACTCGAAAGTATACATAGAAAGAAGAGGAACTTGTATCTCTGCACTTACAATCCAAAAATAGAGTCAAGTCTTGCCAAATAGTTGTGGTTTTTTGTGAAAAGAAAGGTTTTAAAATATCTGTTGATTTTGCCCAGTTACATATAACTATGTCATCACTTAGACCAAGAAAACACCAGTAAAGATCAGATATGTCAATATGACTAAGAGTTTTTAGTCAGTTGCTAGGGATCTGTAACTGTAAACTTCCCTATTCTCCTCAGGGTCCATTTCTGCCTATATTATTGACATCACAACTATATATTTGGGTCAAATATAAACTCTCATCATTAGAAGAGAATTAAAGCATATGTGGTATCTAACCATACTGGGCCACATCACCTCACTGTGCAACTGCTCAGTAATACTGGCTGAATGAAAGAATGGTTTCCTGAAATAACACTCAACTCTCCACGTTCCCAATGTTTTTCAATCCATATGAGACATACAGCTAAACATTCCCATGGCACTTTCGAAGTACATTCAAAGTAGTAAAATATTTCCCAAAGCCTACAAACCCAGTAAGTAACAGAGCTAGATTAAAAACTAAACTAACCCTCCCAGCTACTCCACTGATGTGCTGTTTTCATGTTAAACATCTGAATCATAGGTCAAGAGAAAGGGAATTCCTTGCTCAGAAGGGACCACTGTTTCTAAAGAAGAGCTGTTGGCCCCACAAGAATTCTTTGAAGTACAGATTGTATGCTTATATAGCACGTACAAAGTAAATGTCATTGTGTTGAGGGGAAGCCAACCTGACCTTGACTGTAGGTCAGCCCAGACATTTCTGGCTCAAGAGCTGAACTGGATCAACTGACATAATACTGTTTTTAAAGTTTCTATTCTACGTCCTAATTCAGTGAGTCTTAAAAGTTTGTGAGTGGCCATCCAAGACACATGTGTCTCTATTACCCAGAAGTTAACAGAAGAAGGAGACCCAGGAATCAGCGAAGGACACTGACTACAGGACCCATGAACTACTGCCTCCTCTGTCATGAGACCAGAAGACTGGAGGGTGCCTTGCTACATTACTGAACATTTTGATCACAGCCACGATAGATGGATCCTGATCAAAAGGGATAAAATGTGGAACAGAACTTCAAATTCTTAAAGATTCCAGACTTACTGGACCCACTGAGACTACTGCCCTAAGATGTTCTTTAACATTTAACCAAAACTATCCCCTGAAGTCATCTTTAGACTAAACAACAGTTTAGCTCGATTAGTATGCCTTGAGGATTGCACTCTGTTAAAAGATTAAATACTGAGACCAAAATGACAACAGTAAATCTACAGTATAAATGAGAAGACTAGCAGAGCAGCGGGTCTAATCTAAAGGTGGTAGAACGATTTGAGTAGAAATGGACTGTTGACACAAAGTGAAGAATGTACTATACTGAACTGCACGTGTAGAAACTGCTGAATGGGTGCATGTTTTGCTCTGTATACTTTCACCAGAAATAAAATAAAATATTGTTTAAAAAAGAGCAGAACTAAAAATGTCATAATCGAAAGATTAGAAATGAAAAAGAAATGAAAAAAGACAAGCAAGACTGAACTCGAAGTCATGCTGGGTCTGCAGGAGCAGAGAGAGGCAGCCAGGAATTTGGATCCTATGGCAATATGTAGCTTAAATGCACCTATATGAGTAGAAAATATAGCCAGGCTACTGCTTGAAAAAGAGACATGGCTAAAGCTTACCCACTGGTAAAAGGAGACTGAGAAAAGCTGCTATGATTGCTAGGGTTCATGTAGAGATTGTCCCTAGGCAGGCAAGAGTACATAAACACAGCTTCATGAAACGAGCCAAGCAGCATACTGATTACAGGACAGCCATCCAAGTTGTCAGACCTCACCGGATTGGGAGCTCTGAAGAGATGATAGCTGTCCAACTATCACGTTGTGCTTAACAGAGAGGCTACCACTCAAGGTAAGCATGCTAACACACACACACACACACACACATAAATTTAAAAACTCTGTAGAAAGAACAAAGGTCCCTGGTTGGTGCAAATGATTGCACCTAACTACTAACCTAAAGGTTGGCAGTTCGAACTCACCCACTGGAACCATGAAAGAAAGGGCTGGTAATCTGCTTCCATTAAATTACAGCCAAGAAAACCCTATGGAGCAGCCCTACTCTGTAACACATGGTGTCAGCATGGGTTGTAATCGACTCGAAGGCAACAAGTTTGTTTTTTTTAATAGAAAGAACACGGTCTACACAGAACACAGAGAAGAAGAAAATTACTGAAGATAATACTAAAGAATTTTAAAAAAAAAACACAAAAACATAAAATGATATACAATATGAAAAAGCAGTTAGGAATCATAGAAGATAGATTGACAGACTCTAAATGTCTCAAAGGAATTCCAAGAGATAATACAAGGAGTGGTGAGGAAGCTCTAATCAAAGAGGTAAAAGCTGATAATTTTCCAAAACTGAAGAAAGTCACAATTCCTTAGATTGAAAGGGCACTGCAAGTTTTAAGAAGTATAAATTTAAAAATGCATCCAGACCCAATCACAATGTGGAGAGACTATAATTACTGAAGACAAAAGAATATCTAAAAAGTAACCAGAAAAAGATTTTGAAAAATCAACACAAATCCAAACACTAGTTTTTGAAAAGACTCAAAAATACAAAAGTCTTTAGAGAGATTTAACGAGGGACAAAAAGGGAGAGGTAGAGAAGGCATAAAAAATAGTACAAAAAATGAGGACATAATCACAGTTATAATAAAAAGATAACAGAATTTTTATCATCAACTTTGTCAATAAATTTCAAAACTTTATTAAGAAAAACATAATTCACCAAAACTGGTTAAAAATAACAAAAACAAAAAACTAGAAAGCCTGAACAATCTTATAACTAATAAAGAATTGAAGAAGTAGTTTAAAAGTCTTCCCATCAAAACAGAACCGCCAAGCCCTGATGATTCAGATTATATCACAAGAGTTCTATCAGAGAACAAAAAGGAGAAGATATTTCCAGCTCATGCTTAGAATCCAGTAAACTTGATACCAAAATTACAGAAAGATAGCCTGAGAAAGGAAAGTAACAGGCCAATCTAACTCATGAAGCTATCTTCAAAAATTCTAAAAAAAAATATTAGCAAGTCAAATTGACAAGTATTTTTAAAATAACTATCAATCATGACTAGTTTGGGTTTATCCTAAAAGGTCCCTGGGTAATACAATGGTTTGCACTCAACTGCTAACCTAGAAGGAGCCCTATGGTGCAACAGTTAGAAGCTTAGCTGCTAACAGAAAGGTCAGAGGTTCAAACCCACCAGAGGCTCTATGGGAAAAAAAGACCTGGCTATCCGCTCCCATAAAGATTAACAGCCTAGGAAACCCTACAGGGCAGTTCATATAAGGTTGCTATGAGTCAGAATTGGCTCATTGACTCAGCCGCACACAACAAGAAGTAACTTAGAGGTTGGTGGTTCGAACCTATCCAGCAGCACCATGGAATAAAGGGCTGGCAATCACTTCTGTAAAGATTACAGTGAAGAAAACCCTATGGAGCAGTTCTACTCTGTAACACACGAGTTCGCCATGAGTTGGAATCAACTCTATAGCAATGAGATTGGTTTTTATGGTTTGGGGTTATCCTAGGAATGCAAGGATGGTTTTATGTTTGAAATGTTTTAAATGTCATTCACTCTACTGGCATTAAAAAAAGAAGAAGAAAAAGAAAACAGAAGAGCACCTTAAAAGATGCAGAAAAATATTTGATAGACTTTAAATACACAAGTGCTATAAAAACTACCAACAACTTTGGTATAGAAGAGAGCCTCCTTAGCCTGAGAAGTGTATTAATAAAGATAGCTCATTCCTAATGAGGAAGAATTGGAAGAATTCTTTTTAAAAATCAAGAACAAAACAAGGATGGCTGCTATTATGGGTTCTATTCATCACTGAACTGGAGGTCCCACACAGTGTAGTAAAGCAAGAAAAAAAATTGTAATAATGAATAAAACTATTATTCAGTTATTACTTTCATAGAAAACTCGAAAGAAGCTACAATTAATTAGAAATTATAAGAAGTTTAGCTAGGTGTTTGAATAAAATAGTGCAGAAAATTGATTTTATACATATATATGTTAACCTCATGAAGGAGCCCTGGGGGCACAATGGTTAAGCACTTGGCTGCTAACCGAAAGGTTGGTGGTTTAAAAGCCAACATCTCCAAGGGAGAAAGACCTGGCAATCTGCTCCTATAGAGATGACAGCAGAGAAAACCCTATGGGGCAGTTCTACTCTGTCACATGGGGTTGCTATGAATCGGAACTGACTCAACAGCACCCAACAACAGCAACATACATTAACCTCAATGAAAAGATGCAATATTTATAAAGAAACTATAAATGGACCAAAAATTGTAAGACAGAGAAGAACACGTCTAACAAAAGATTTACAAGACCCATATGCATAAAATTGTAAGACTTTATTAGAAGGCATTACAGAAGATTTAATTAAAAATGGTGAGATAATCCATTAAGAAAACTCATTATCATCATAAAGCTAACGAGTCTCCTCAAATTAATCTACATATACAAAATGTGGTATCAATCAAAACAACATGTCTTCATGCAACTTGACAATCTGATTCTAAAATTTATATAGACGATCAATGGACCAAGAATAAACTGGAAGGCTTGCCCAACCAGATATCAAGATTTACTAGAAATAGCTGAGTCTGGGACAAACAAATTGACCAAGAATCAATTTGGATCAGAATAGGGAGCCAGTAGTCGAGGTCACACATACATGGAATTTGGTTATAAACAAGTTTCACTGCAGAGCACTAGGGGGAAAGAGGGACTATGAAAAAATGGTGCTGGGACAAATGGGTATTCATATGGAAAAAATGAAATTGGAATCCTACCTCACACTATATACAAAAATTAATTCCAGATAAATTAAAAACTTCACTATGAAATAGAAAAACCTTAAAACTTTCGGAAGAAATTAAATACAGATTAACTGTCATTAGGAGTTTAATCATCAACAAAAATAGCAAAAAAATGGTATATTCAAAGTGCCATGGGCACAAACTGTATTCAATTACCTAGCAAAGCTGTCTTTCAAGAGTAAGGGTGAAAGAAAGACTTTTTTTAGACAAAGAAAGATCTATTTAGCCTCACTGAGGGATGTTCTTTAGCAAGAAGAAAAATAAACCCACAGCTAAGGAGGGGAACGCAAGAAACAACAGCAAGCACATCAATTCAACCGGTTGGTATACGGATTCATTACTAGTTTTTTAGAATGCTGTTGTTAGGTGCCACCAAGTAAGTTCCAACTCATAGCAACCCTATGTACAACAGAAGGAAACACTGCCCGGTCCTGTGCCATCCTCACCATCGTTGTTATGCTTAAGCCCAGTGTTGCAGTCATTGTGTCAATCCATATCCTTGAAGGTTTTCCTCTTTTCAACTGACCCTGTACTTTACCAAGCATGATGTCCTTCTCCAGGGACTGATCCCTCCTGATAACATGTCCAAAGTATGTGAGACATAGTCTCATCATCCTTGCTTCCAAGGAGTATTCTGGTTGTACTTCTTCCAAGACACCTTTATTCATTCTTTTAGCAGTCCATGGTATATTCGATATTCTCCATCAACACCACAATTCAAAGGTGCCAATTATTCTTCTGTCTTCCTCATTCATCGTCCAGCTTTCACACGCATATGAGGCGACTGAAAACATCATGGCTTGGGTCAGGCGCACCTTAGTCTTCAAGGTAACATCTTTGCTTTTCAATGGTTTAAAAAGGTCTTTTGCAGCAGATCTGCCCAATGCAATGCATCTTTTCTTTTGCAGCAGATTTGCCCAATGCAATGCATCTTTTCATTTCTTGACTGCTGCTTCCATGGGTGTTGAGTGTGGATCCAAGTAAAATGAAATCCTTGACAACTTCAATCTTTTCTCCATTTATCATGATGTTGCTTATTGGTCCAGTTGTGAGGATTTTTGTTTTCTTTATGGTGAGGTATAATCCATACCGAAGGCTATAGTCTTTGATCTTCATCAGTAAATGCTTCAAGTCCTGTTCACTTTCAGCAAGCAAGACTGTGTCATCTGCATAACACAGGTTGTTAATGAGTCTTCCTCCAATCCTGATGCCCCGTTCTTCTTCCTATAGTCCAGCTTCTTGGATTATTTGCTCAGTATACAGTTTGAATAAGTATAGTGAAAGGATACAACCCTGACACACACCTTTCCTGACTTTAAACCATGTAGCATCCCCTTGTTCTGGCTGAAGGAATGCTTCTTGGTCTAAGTACAGGTTCCTCATGAGCACAATTAAGTGTTCTCGAATCCCCATTCTTCACAATGTTATCCATAATTGTTATGATTCACACAGTGGAATGCCTTTGCATAGTCAATAAAACACAGGTAAACATTTTTCTGCTATTCTCTGCTTTCAGCCAGGATCCATTTGACATCAGCAATGATATTCTTCATTCCACACCCTCTTCTTAATCCAGCTTGAATTGCTGGCCGTTTCCTGTCAATGTACTGCTGCAATCGCTTTTGAATAATCTTCAGCAAAATTTTATTTGTGTGTGATATTAATGGTATTGTTCAATAATTTCCACATTCTGTTGGAATACCTTTCTTTGGAAAGGGTACAAATACGGATCTCTTTCAGTCGGCTGGGCGGGCAGCTGTCTTCCAAATTTCCTGGCATAGACAAGTGAGCTTTTCCAGCACTACATCCGTTTGCTGAAACATCTCTACATCTCAATATAGCCAAGTAAGCAACCTGGCGTAGGGAGCCACACAACCCTGCTCAGACTGGCCACCTTATTCCCATGCAGAAATAAGCACTGGGTACAGAAGTTAACTGGGACCAGAGGAGAGGTACGTCTGCGAGGCTACGACTCTGATACACGTAAGTGAGGAGGTGGAGTTCATGTCTTGGAAGAGAGTCACCAGCCCAGCAAACTGAGATTTTTAAGACCCTCAAAGAGGATGTTTTCACGAAAACATCCTCCATTGCGCAACATCCCCTGGAAACTTTAATTTTATTCCCTTTCAAAGCTGATGGTGTGTTTGCTCATCACGACATTTTATCTTTGAGGACTTTCCCAATTCCTCAAATAGATCTTCATTCTACCATTTACACATTCAAGGATGAAAAATGTGCATCACTGTATAAAATTAAATTACCTTTAAAACCTGTAGCTTTGCCTCCAGTTCCATTCTTCTCAGAATCATTGCTCCATTAAGAGTCTCTATCCTGTTTTAAAAAAGAAAAAAGGATAGTGGGAATAGCATGAGTGATTCATTTAAACAAGTACCATCCTTATGGAGTACTACACTTTGAGCACTGACTACACTAAAAAAACAACATAAGTGTTATATTTCTCACGGCACTTCAAGTATTTGGATCTACGCCAAAGCTTCTGACAACACTGAGAGAAAGAAAATGGAAAAAAATAAAAATAAAACTTCCCCTTTAAAGGGTAGGAGCCCTCATGGTGCAGTGGTTAAAGCCAGTAGTTGAAGCGCTTGGCCGCTAACTGGCTAACCGAAAGGTCTGCGGTTTGAACCCATCAGCTGATCTGAGGGAGAAAGATGTGGCAGTCCACTTCCGTAAAGATTTACAGCTTTGGAAACCCTATGAGGCAGTTCTACTCTGTCCTACAGGATCGCTATGAGTCAGAATCAACTCAATGGCAATGGGTTTTGTTTTCCCCTTGGTTTTGAGAGGGTAGTTAAAAGAAAAGGTTATGGCTAATTAGTAAACTAGCTAATTTTACAGAAGCCCCCATACAACAATGATCGTTCTCTACTAAGATTTATTATTGCTGGGATTGGTTGAATCACCTCATTCATTTGGTGGATATTTTTTGCAGCAGCTACTATGTGCCAGACTCTAAGCTCTGTGTGAAGCATACAGGGTACAGCAATGCCAACGCTGGGCACTAGCGACTTTCAGAAGAGTGGAATCAACATGCTACTGCTTGAAGCAGGGAGAAATCCCTTCCTGCCTTGCTGTTGTTTTCAGTTGCCATTGAGTCGATTCTGACTCATGGTGACCCCATGTGTGCAGAGCAGACTGCTCTATAGGGTTTTCAAGGCTGTGACCTTTCAGAAGCAGATTCTCAGGCCTGTCTTCCGAGGAGCCCCTCGGTGGGTTCAAATAGCCAACCTTTCATCTAGTGGTTAAGCGCTTAACCCTTTGAGCCACGCAGGGACTTTGCTTTTCCTCCCTAAAATCTTTCATCTCTGTTAATTGCCTTAATTTTGGAACTAGAACAAATGGAACTGAAACCACTATAAGATAATAACCTTCATATCACTCTTCCATCTCAAAACATTTTAGGTTTACAAACTTTAACCCTAGAATTATCAGCTTGACAGTGTTCTTTTCTTCCTACACTAAATACTTTTCTAAAAATAAAAATGCTCTATGCTGGGGGATCTGATTTGTTTTGTGAGCTCAAGTTAGAGGCCTTTATTTTGGCAACTAAGTCATCCATCTGAAAAAGATATAGATTTCATTTGTGAATCACACACCTAAGCATTTTTAAAGCATCAGCTCAAATTCCTTCTGATAAATAAACTATAACTCTATAAAGATACAAGAAATTTTTCCAGACATGGTAAATAACAGCATTAAATGCAGATACTAGTTTTCCTTTCCTTCTAATACCCTTCTGTCTGGGGTAATGAGATGAAGCAAACCAAGAATGTATCTGCTTTTCCTATTAGGGTGGTCCTATCTCTTTGGGGGGCCCCGGTGACACAGTGGTTAAGAGCTTGGCAGCTAACCACAAGGTCAGCAGTTCAAATCCACCAGCCACTCCTTGGAAGCCTTAAGGGGAAGTTCTACTCTGTCCTATAAGGTCACTATAAGTCTGAATCCACTCAGTGGCAACTTGCTTGTTTGTTTGTTTATTTTAACTCTTTGTGCAAGAGTGGAGATCTCTATGTATCTGTTTCACGGAGACTCTTTACGTCTATCTGACCTGCCCAAGCATAAATCTCTACGGGCAAAACTGCAAACAATGGTGGCCCTCTTCAGTATTTATATAGACTGACTCTCATTTTCCTGATGTTTGACTCCAACGACTGTCTCCCCTTAATCACCCAGCTGGCAGCTACCCACTACACCCAGCTGGAACATATTTTTCTGCCTCTAACCACCAGCATTGTCCCCTGGACTCTATGTGGTTCCTACCTTCTGGATCCAGGTTCCTCTGGAGCAACAGTGCCCTTATCTTTTACCCTGAACTCACAGAACACAGAAAACTGGACTCAGTCCTTCACCACTACCAGTCAACTTTCAAAACTGCTCCCACACATGTGCAAAATGTCCTTTGAAGTTTCAGATATGAAATCACTGAAGAACATTCGGGATTTTCAGTTACCAGCTTGAAATGAGCAGCTGTGGTGTAGCAGGTGGCTTGAGTCTCAGCTCTGTCCCTTACTAGTTGGTGACCTTAACTAATCCCTCATTTAGGCCTGAGTCACTTCATCTATGAATAGAAATAAAATTAAGGTGGCTGTGCAGAATGACAAGATAATATACGTCCCACTCAGTCAGAATAGGAGTCCCTGGGTGGTGCAAATGGTTCACACCTTCAGCTGCTAACCAAGCAGAGTTTTAAGTCCATGCCAAGGTGCCTCAGAAGAAAGGCCTGGCAACCTACTTTCAAAAAATCAGCCACTGAAAACCCTGTGGAACACAGTTCCAATGTGGGGTTATCGTGAGTAGGAATCAACTAGACAACTGGATTTTTGTTGTTGTTCCATTCGAATGAAACCTAAATTCTTGGCATGATTGATGAGGCCCATGGTCTGCCCCCTGGTCACCTTACTATCTTCACTTTTTATCATATTCCCCCTTTACCCATCAACCCCCTATTACACTGGCTTTCTCTCTGTCCCTTAGTCAGGCCAAGCTCATTTTGAGAACTCAAGCCACCTCTCTACCCAAAGTGCTCTTACCAGGTGTTCATATGACCATCCCTTCTCATCATTTAGGTCTCAGCTCAAATGTCACCTCCTCAGAGAGAACCTCCTTGAACACCTAAAGTAGCTGCTCACTTACTCAGTTTTCTATCCCCCTGTCCATTTTTTTCTTCATAGCAGTTATCAATAATAGAAATATCAAAACTACTTATCTGTAGGGGTTTTTCCTATACATTTCCTTCCACTAGGAGAGTCTTTATGTTTGTCTCCCCTGAGCCTATCACGGAGCTGGAAACATAGCATTTGCTCAATAATATGCTAACGAATGAATGAATTCCATCTTTTAATTATTTATTAAGGTCTTATCAGGTGCATCGATATTATGGTGAGTAAGTAGTCAAATCCCTAATACGAGAGACCAATGTCCCATTCATAAATTTGGAATGTTAATAGGTATGGATGTATGTACTGGGGTAGGGGGTAAGCAGACTTTGTTCTTCCCTTCCAAATGGAGCACCAGAAGAGAAAAAAACAACTGGCTTGTGGCATAAGAGGGAAAAATTCAATCCTTCGACCTTTTATTTGTTCTAGCCACAAGATTACATCAACCAGGCAAATGGGACCAGCTACTCTCTGAGCTCAAAGAGAGTGTGTGCCAGTTTACCTGAATTTGACATTTGAAAAACACTTTTTTAAATGCTATCCCACCTACACAGACATGCGGACTATTGATGTCCTCCGACTTCAGATGTTGACAATATTTTCATGTCTGAGAAAACCTTGAGAAACAAAAGAAACGGATAAAAACCTCTGTACCCAATCACAAAGCTGTGGCACACAGCCTCCCTTTCTGTGATCCTTGAACAATAAAGCCTATTCACTCACTCAACAGCTATTATGAGAGATCATAACATTTTTGAAACCCCACGTGAATCAGACGGATAGTTACGTTAGCAGGTTTCCTGACGATCTGATCAGGTCAACCACTTGTTTGTGGGTGAAGCCTTCTGTGCTCACGCCATTGATATTGGCAAGGATATCACCTGGGAGATGCCAAGAAAAATGAGTGTTACAAGCAGTTAAATAATCCCTCCTGATTTGTACTGCAAATGAAACAAAATAAATCAAGCTCCAAACGGAAATACAAACCAACAGTCACATCCTGACCTTCACTATCAAAAAGTTTTCTTTGCTTGCTATTTAAATGATTTGAAACATGAGCAAAGTTGTAAGTTACCAGTTTGCAGGCCAGAGCAGTGAGCTGGGCTGTCCTCCCTTACTTTGCAGATCAGAGTACACATCTCTGACAAGCAGGTGTTCTGGTTCTGGAGTTTGTAAGTCTGTAAGAATGAAGGTGATACACAGTTACTATGTAGAAAAAAAACCCTCAAAATATACTTACCAAAAATAAAATTGTGTCTGTTACCTTAAGTGTATAGTAAAAAAGGAATGACTCATGGCAACCCCATGTGTGTCAGAGTAGAACTGTGTTCTGCAGGGTTTTCAATAGCTGATTTTTTGGAAGTAGAGCACCAGATCTTTCTTTCAAGGCACCTCTGGGTGAACTCAAGTTCCCAACCCTTCAATCAGCAGCTGAGTGTGTTAACCGTTTGCACCACCCAGGTACTCCAGGTAAGTGCAAAGAACAATTTGGAAAGGATTTCCTGACTATAAACTGAATCATACATACCAATTTTACAATTCTACCAAAAAATTCGCAGCCAACCCCATTCATAAAAAATATCTGACTTGAGAAAATGGGTTAAGGGTGGCTCAAGATTTTAGCTTGTCAAGCCTAAGAGACCACCTGATGCTACCATCGCTGCATATTTATTAAGAAAAATTAAGTTTCTTGTTTCCTAAGGGATAAAACAACGCTGTCCCAGAGGAAAGAGAAAAGTCCCTACACAGTTCGCCTCATTATAGGCAAGTATGCAACAGTACAGACCCAGACAGGGAGATATGCCAACAATGATCATTTTAAATCAGAGTTCTGCAAATAGTGACAATCTGCCCTGCATTTATTCAAAAGCACTATAATTGACTCAATTATCTTCATTTCTGAGCATTCTCCTGTATGCCTGCCCTGAATACTCACCGGTTCATTAGTCACCCAACTAAATTAGGAAGAGTTATGCTTTGTCTCCTGCTTCAATTTGGCAAAAGTATGTGTTTTGTTTGTTTCAAATTGTAACAACACTGAAGACATCAAGTCCCAATGACCTATAACAAACATGTTTTTCTTTTTTACACATTTGAGTTATGAGGTCTGGTTCCATTTAGCACCAAAATCAGTGTTCTGAGTTAAGTTTTTGAAACATGTGATTCCTAAAATTAAGCCACATCACAATACTTCTTCCTGATGGGAAAATATAAATGTCTAATGTTCATTCTTTCTTACTTGATAATCTGTGAGGCACCACAAGTCAGCCACATGCAAGAAATTTCTAGACACTTGGGTTTGTTAACCTCTAAAGGATTTCTAGTCAATCTATAGGATATTTACAGCTAAAAGGAACTTGAAAAGATCATGTTATACACTGCATTTATGTCAGAAGCCCCTTTAACAGTTGTCCTGCCAGAGAATCTTCTCACTAAAGCCCAGATCTTTCTAGAGATGGAAGAGTGTTCTAGTTCATGTGCTGCATTAAGTAAAGATGTAACTGGCACTCGTTTTTTGACCGCTGGTCTAACAATTCTCATTAACAGTAAGTCTCTAGCCTCAATCCCCAGTGAGCAAAGTGAGAATAAAAACCAAAACCAAACCTGTTGCCGTCGAGTCGATTCCGACTCATAGCGACCCCATATGACAGAGCAGAGCTGCCCCATAAGGACTTCCAAGGCTGTAAGCCTTTAAGGAAGCAGATTGCCACATCTTTCTCCAGTGGAGCAGCGGTGGGTTCAAACTGCCGACATTTCAGTTAGCAGCCGAGTGGTTAAGCGCTGCACCATCAGAGCTCCCTCAAGTGAGTATAGTGGAGGGGAAACATGTTGATTTATGTAGCCAACACCTGCATATGTGTTCACGATGGGTGTAAAATTCAGTGGTTAGAGACAGAGAAGAAAAGGCAGAAGCCCAAAAGTTATGGAAGGAAATAATTAGTCAGATACTTCTTTCCCTTTTACCCAGTTTTTCAGCTCCCAGTTGTAAGGGCCAGGAACGGAATGATCATCCAGAACTTCGCTGAGACAGAAAGGGATTGTCTTAGTTATCTAGTGCTACTATAATAGAAATACCACAAGTGGGTGGCTTTAAAGAACAGAAATTTATGATCTCAGTTTAGAAAGCGAGAAGTTCGAATGCAGGATACCGGCTCTAGGGGAAGTCTCGCTCTCTCTCTCAGTCTACTCTGGGGGAAGGTCTTTATCTGTTTTCAGCTTCTATTCGTAGGTTCCTTGGCCATCACGTGGCATGTATCTTCCCCTCCGTTTGTGCTTGCTTGGTTAATCTGCTCCTTTGTATCTCGTAAGAGGGCGATTTAAAACACATCCTACACTAATACTGCCTCGTTAACGTAACAAAGACAACTCATTCCCAAATGAGATTATAACCACAGATACAGGGGTTAGGGTTCACAACCCATATTTTGGGGGACATAATTCAATCCATAACAGGAACATTGCCTTTTTTCGTGCCCAATAACCTTCGTGCTCACATTTGTCGCTTGCTGTCACTAGCACCAAGCCACTAGGTACTTTTTATGTGTTATCTCATTTAAAATTTCTAAGAGCCCCATAAAACAGGTACAGAGAGAGTTCGAACACAGGTGTGCCTGCATCTAAAGCCTGTGTTCCTATCATGCTACATGATTCTCATTAGTAGTCTAAAACTAACACTCATGGAAAACCAGCGAGAAGGGTGGACCTAGTCTGTTCCACTCAGAGGCCAGGACTCAAATACATGCTCACACTGGGTGAGCAATATGGCTACAGGGCTTCTGTCTGAATTCACAAAGTTCCCAGACACATTTGTCCTATTTGTTCACCGCTGCAAGTTTTATGAGTACAGAGGAGTTTATGGTGTAGACCTGGTCATGGGAAGCATACACCAAAATGGAATGTACAGGAGAGTGGATAGCTGCATCACTGAGCTAACGTACATGTTGCAGTTCACAGGTGAGGTCATTAGCTCAAGCTGATCTACAAAGATTCAATGGTGCTGTAGCCCATTGTCTACTAATGATAGTTTTGACTTCTGATGTATGTAGAAGAAATGCTTATGGTACGGGAGGGAGACATGATGAAACAGTGACGTACAGGACATAGTGTGTGCGTGTGTAAGTGTGTGTGTAGTGTAGCAGAAAGAGAAACTCTATAGTCATTTATCCTGTTTTCAGTAGCAACTGCTGCACATCCTTGGGGATAATTCTCACCTGAAAAGAAGCGTCTCTACCAACAAAATAGGGAGTGTTTCATGTGAATAAGAGAGAGTACAATGCTTCTAAAACCAGACGGAAGAATTATAGATTTCACCAAATTTAAAAGAAGAGCTCAAAAAGCAAAAGATACCTCCTCTTCACCTAGAGCTTTCTCCCTGTTCACTGCAGCTAGAGTATCATTTTGTAAATTCACTCATCAAACATGTTTTTGCTTAGCAGCTTCCTGTTCCTAATCTTAAAATACGCACTGACTTTCCAATTGTGGAAATCAGATTTAGTCATCCAAGGTTTTCTGAAAGCAAACCAAAGCTAAGATCTAAAATCTGATGTGTAGCGTAAGGACGTGATTATTCAAAACACATCTAAAAAAATGCAAAAGTGCTACGGAAAAGAATCAGTAATACTTAAACTACTACTGCCGCACTTATTGACTTCATTTGACCTCACTCACCATCTTTACAAATATGGCCGTTGAAAAGCAAACAGAAAATAAAAAATAAAATTTTGGGGCAAGTACATGGAAACCTATAAAGACTTAGATTTCCTACAGCGTGAGGCAATTTGCAATTAAAGCCAAATGTCTTTAAGTGTGTCAAAAAATAAAGTATTGCCACTAACAAAAAAAAATACAAATTTTTCATAATATCCAATATGAACTCTTTAGTATATTCAAACTGTAACAGGAACTATACGTGACTACATGCATTCTATATACATAGGTATATAGTTTTTCAAATATTTTTTGAATACCTAAAGATTTAAAATCTGATATACAGCATAAAATATGATTATGCAAAACACATCAAATGCAAATACATAAAAATTCACATAAATATAAATTTTAATATATAAACATATTACTTATAAGACAGAGCAACTTTCTTCCTAGAATGTCTGGAAAATTTGAAAACTGCCCACCTGAATATCAAATCCAAATGTTCCATTATCCTGCTTTTCCACAATCACCAGTTTGCTGTAATAAAAAACTACATATGAAGATCAAAGCATCATATTTGGCACGTATTTATCATTAAAAATAACTGTCACAAGTAAAAATAGCTGACATTTATCTAAATTGTACGCATGAATGTGTGTGTGTGTGTGTGTGTGTGTGTGTGTGTGTGTGTGTATGCATGTTGCCAACAGTCTGGAGAACTGTGTCCCTAAGTATCTTGGTGAGCAATCAAAAAAACTGGTAAATCTCTTTACCTTTGAGGCCAGGAAAATTCACCTAAAGAACTTGATCTGGTCAAAGCAAGCTGAAAAATACAACAAGCACAGTTATCTAAAGGTCCTTAAGACACATTAATCTGTAAAATGTTTTAAATCATAAAGGACTTTGTTCTTTTTATCACCTTCTTTATCCCAGCTTCTGGGAAACTGCAATGTAAATGCAGCAATTTCCATTCTCTAGTAATAGCAAGGAAACCCTGGTGGTGTAGTAGTTAGGTGCTATGACTGCTAACCACAAGGTCGGTAGTTCAATTCACCAGGTGCTCCTCGGAAACCCTGTGGGGCAGTTCCACTCTGCCTTATAGGGTCGCTATGAGTCGGAATCGACTCAACGGCAACGGGTTTGGTTTTGTTTTTTTTTGAGTAATAGCAAGGAAGTCCCTGGATGGTGCAAATAGTTAAACTACTACCAACCTAAAGGTTGGCGGTTCTAACACACTCAGAGACGCCTCTGAAGACATGCCTGGTGATCTGCTTCCGAAAAGTAATAGCCTTGAAAACGCTGTTGCTGTTGTTAAGTGCCGTCCAGTCGGTTCGGACTTATAGCGACCCTGTGTACCACAGAACAAACACTGCCCGGTCCTGCGCCATCCTCACAATCGTTCTTACGCTTGAGCCCATTGTTGCAGCCACTGTGTCAATCCATTTCGTTGACGGTCTTCCTCTTTTTCCTCTTTTCCGGGTTTTTTGAAAACCCTGTGGAGTAGTTTTACTCTGCACACATAAGTTGGAATCGACTGCACCACAACTGACAACGAATGATGCCAAGGGAGAGCTGGGAAAAGGACTTTCAGGGGTTCCTCTTAAGAGAGTAAAAGAGGCTCCAATAATAACACATTGTGGCAAAAGAGCTCGCTGCTAACCAAAAGGCGGGCAGTTCCAATCCACCAGCCGCTCCTTAGAAGCTCTATAGGACAGTTCTACTCTGTCCTAAAGGGTCGCTATGAGCTGGAATCACGACGGCAATGACTTTGTTTTTTTGTTTGTTTGTGGCAAAAGTGTTAATGCAATGTAGCAAAACCCCAAAGCTTCCAAACTGTATTTAAAACAGCCTCTGAAAGATTAACTGTAATAATTATAGTCCCACTGACAACCAAAGAAAAATAACACCCATAGAATAACATGTAAAACCCACACACTTGATAGCTCTTGGAAATGTTGATGCGATGGCTATGTTTATTATAATGGTTCAATATGAGTTACTGTTTTTAGTAGGACAAAATAATCTCTAAAGGACCAACTTGTATACAGAGACACAATCCTGATGAAACCAGGGACTCAGGACTTCAATTCTGTTTATGATTTATTTTTGCAATAGCTCTGGATTAATGCAGAGAGACTTCCAGGCAAGAAAAGGAAAGGAAACCTCAGAATGATATCAATGGTGTAAATTATTTGATAATATCACCTTCATTTCGTGCACATTTTAGGAAAAGATCATATAGCATAAACTTTCAGAATACATTCTACCATAGTAAACAGAGGAAAAGTCAACAAAATGTGGCATCTTATTTTTAAGAGATTGCAGTTGATTTTTGCTTATTTTTTGCTGTATTTAGAAATTAATGAAGGTTAGTTAGCCCTTTCTGAACTGTTGGTACCAAAACAAACCAAACCCACTTCCACTGAGTTGATTCTGACTCAAGGCGACCCTACAGGACAAAGTAGAACTGCCCCCTAGTGTTTCCAAGGAGCGAGTGGTGGATTCGAACTGCCAACCTTTTGATTAACAGCTGAGCTCTTAACCACTGTGCCACCAGGGCCCAAACATAAGCTTATGCTATGTTTAACTGTCATCCTAATGTGGTTGTGATACATCAATGAACACATAAAACACAGGAGATTCATGCATAGTCAGTCTAGACAAATAAAAATAATTACAGGATGAAAAACTGAAAGGAGAATAATACATAGAAGAAATTAACAGATATGTGACAAGTTACAAAATGAAATGCTCATTAGGGCATTCCTTAGGAGGGAAGCCTACATCATTGTAAGGAATTTGAATTACCAGGTACCAAATGCCAGTAGGAAACGCTGGTGGGATAGTGTTAAGACCTATGGCTGCTAACCAAAACGTCCGCAGTTCGAATCCACCAGGCGTTCCTTGGAAACCCTATGGGGCAGTTCTACTCTGTCCCATAGGGTCCCTATGAGTCGGAATCGACTTGATAGCAACGAGTTTGGGCTTGGTTTAAATGCCAGTATTCTCACAAATTCCCAGAATAGCCCAGTGGTCAGAATTCAACTGGGAGTCAATAAAATTAATGTAATGAAGAGGTGATCTCTTCCCACCTATTTGATGTGAATGAATTGTATTTTCCTCTCTTGTCGGTTCCAGTCCTCAACCCATTTGTATGACCCTGCAAACTGCAATATGAAGGCTCAGAAGTGAAAAGATTATCTTGTTAAATAGTATTATCTGCAATTTACGAGGACTCACTGTGGAACACCTACACCAGTTTGTAAGGTTTAATATCGCTCGATTCTGTACCTGATGCATACTATTAACAAAGATGAGGACCATTGAGCTATGTGATAGGCTGCCTTTTTTTGGAAGAAAGCAATAAATTTGATATTCCCAAGCATTCTCAATCTCTCCCTTATATTGTACTTACATCTTCTTAATCTATTTCCATAATGCTCATCTGCTTTGTCTTCTAGCCTTAATTCAAGTTGTGAGGAACGTAGGTAGCCCCTGTCTAATTATGTTATCTGTAATCATAACTAATGTTTTAATTTTTAAAATATCACTCTTGCTATCATTATTCATCAGATTATTCCTATATCTTATATATAATCTATATATCACATATGCATAAATATATTGTTGTCATTAGCTGCCATCGAGTCAGCCCCCAACTTATGGTGACCCCATGCACAACAGAACAGAATGCTGCCCAGTGAGTTGTGGATCAGACCATTGTGATCCATGGGGTTTTCATTGGTTGATTTTTGGAAGTAGATCACCAGGCCTTTCTTCCTAGTCTGTCTTAGTTTGGAAGCTCCACTGAAACCTGTTCACCATCATAGCAACACACAACCTCCACTGACAGATGTGTGGGGCTGCACATGAGGTACATTTGGCCAGAAATCGAACCCAGGTATATACATGTATGTGTGTGTGTGTGTGTGTGTGTGTATCCACATTAAAAAAAAAATAAAAAACCGTAGCCATCAAGTCAATTTCAACTCATAGCAATGCTATATACATAAAATACATATATATTATATGTATAGGGTTGCTATGAGTAGGATATTTTGTGTATGTATAGATATGACCCCTGGTGGGGCAGTGGTTAAGTGATCTGGCTGCTAACCAAAAGGTTGGCAATTCATATCCACCAGCCACTCCTTGGAATCCCTATGGGGCAGTTCTACTCTGTCCTATAGAGCTGTTATGGGTCTGACTCGACTCGATGGCAATGGGTTTATATACATATATATATACACACACACACACACACATAAACTCAGAAACTTATACGCGGAGGATGTAAACAAGTACATTGAAGTCCCTTACGTGCATTATTACAATTTACATTTTTCATATTTGATAATGTATACTATTTTTACTTCCCTTGGCAAAATGAAGAAGGACCTAGTCGGGTTTAGGATTTGGGGAGATGTGTACCGTCAGCAGAAAATTCATTTCCAAGTTCTGAAAGCTGCTTCTTTGACCCTGATATTTTTTAATTAAGCATTGTGAACATGTCCAAATCACATGCTAGAATGGATTTCAAATCCTTTTGAATCTAACATAAGGGCTTGTATTTGAAATAAAATATTTAGGTCTACAGAAGGGGCATGGTTGAGAAATAAAATTATAAATTTTCTTTTCTTTATTCCCCTAGACCTAAGGAAAGTATATTTTATTTCTCTAAAGAAGATGACAAGGAAAAAATGATTTATAGTGTGAAGGAATTTTGAATTGACCTCAAGTGATTCAAAAAATAATTTTTCCATCATGCCTCATTATGTGACCCAACATGTCCCAAATCATCATTTTTCAAATTTATATGAAGAACAAAATGGATTAAATGCCTCTGTATGCTTTGGGCCTCTTAAAAACCTTTGCTGTCAAGTTGATATGACTCATAGCGACTCTATAGGACAGCGTAGAACTGCCCCATTGGGTTTCCAAGGCTGTAAATCTTTGCAGAAGCAGACTGCCACATCTTCCTCCTGCGAAAGGGCTAGTGCTTTCAAATTGCCAACCTTCTGGTTAGTAGCTGAGTGTTTAGCCACTGAACCACCAGAGCTCCTTTGGGGCCTCTTCGGGTCCTTTTTTTTTTTAACCCCATTGCTGAACACAGGGCCTGGAATACAGTGACTACTTAAAATTAGCGAAATAGGCCAACAGATATACTACTAGACAACACAATGCAAGCAAGTAAGTGGTAATGGGAGCTCTGAGGACAAGTATTCTAAAAAGTCTTATATTGTACAGGAGGAATGTGTTGATATTCTTCAAATTTGTCCTTCATTAAATTAAATATTCTTGGGGAAAAACACAAGAGTAATCACTAAGAAAATATAAAAAACAGTTTTTATGTCCCAAACATACAGCAAGATTTAAAAATGAAAAACAAACAAAAAATCTTAATCCAGAAAACAGCAAGGAGTTTAGAAAAAGGAGGACTAATAGAAAACATGAGATAGCAATGCTTTCATACATAATTGCTAAATGAATAATGATGTGAGAATGAATGAATTATTAAAATTTCAAGCCTTCTCTTAGCAATTTTAAATGCCCTTTTGCTAGACAAATAATCATAGCACGATTTCAGCTGGTCTACCCTCAATCTGCTTTCTAAATCTAAAATCATTCTGAAGTGATTCAGATATAAAATCTTTTAAATCCACAAGACAGATCCGTAAGCATCTACAGAAAAGGTAATTTCCCTCATCTCCCTCCTGCTAACCTTTCTATCTAGCTAATTGACTAGTTGAAAATATTTATCCAGCACAATATGAGATGCATAGCAGATTTTCAGTTTCTGTGGACTGACTGATTCGGGTTATAAAAATCAGACTAAGTCAAATTACAAATTACTTTCCACTCTGGATTCGCAATGAACTTGTCTTTGGCACCTAACCTTTAAATAAAAAATCATTTAAATAAATTAAATACCGTCAAAGTCTCTGACACTTGCCACATCTTGACACAAAGCCTACTTGTTTTTGATATGGGCTGTCAGACTCAGGCGATGTGGAAAGGAATGTTCATAGGGTTCAACCTTGCTCACACACAAAACCATCTGCCTAAATGAAATGAAGTATGCCTTAGGTCTCATCAAAGTTCTTATGCTTTGGAAAAAGTTTTTCTACCGCTTTCCCCAAGGGTGAGCCGCCCTGTTCCCTATTTCTGGGATCTAACCCGGAGAGTCCCATGCTCTAGACACCCAGTCAGGGTTGTATCGATGACACCAAAAATCCTGAATGAGGAATTGATGTGCAATGCACAGCATATGCTGGCAACAGCTGTCTTTTATTGCACATTATCTAATATGAGAAATCCAAGTTTAGCAATTTGGCAGGCCTGCAAAACACACATTCAATTATGACTGCTGGATAGACAGAGCTCTTTACCTCCTTGCTAACCACTAATATAAGATGCCTAGGGGTTGGGCTTGGCGCCCTGGTGGTGCAGTGGTTAAGAGCTATGACCCCTAAGCAAAAGGTTGGCAGTTTGCGTCCACCAGGTGCTCCTTGGAAACTTTGTAGGGTAGTTCTATTCTGTCTTCTAGGGTCACTATGAGTCAGAATCGACTCGACGGCAATGGGTTGGTTGTGGGTAAGAGTTGGGCCTATGATCACTCTTCTGTTTTTAATCAAACAACTGAAAAGATCAGGCATCAATACTCAAATCGTAGTATCTGCTGCTACGCAATGTGATTCACAGCATCCATTTTTACTGAGAAATCAAGAACAAATACTTCAGATGTCAATTTGCAGAAGATATGGGGAATCTGTAGTCAGCGGAATAGGTAGCCTGGCCTCAAAGGAGCTCAAAGTTCGATACTGTAGCCACTTCTGCTGCTAAGAAACAGACTGTCACTTCCTGGTCCCCACTGTGTACTCATTTATTTCCTGAAAGTGGGGGTGGGATGGGGTGAAGATACTTACTCACAGGAGGAGTTTTGTTGTTGTTGTTCATTTCAAAACCCCCACATCCATGAGTTCTGCTCCTTTTCCAGTCCCCTGCCTCACTCCTCAAATCTCCCAAGATTACTACTTTTTTCCCCCTTTTATATCAAAAGCATTAGGATAGCAGGGCTTAGCGGACTATTCAAAGGGCCAACAAAATAATGGAGCTGAACTCAGTTCCTTAACTTCTAAATGCCTCTGAAAAGCCTGAAGAGAAAGTTACAAGAAGGTCTGATTGTGGGCTCACAGACCTCCATTTCAAGAACAAGTGTTGGATATTGACTCCAAGCACGTCACAATGTGGAGTAAGGAAGATTTTTCAAATCCTTTTGTAATGAAAGTAACACAGTTTTCTAGCTAAAAGTTTCCATTTAAATGATCACAATTCCTTCGTGCAGCTAGGAACGCTTGGGAGTTATGCTAACGGGTGGGTGTGTTGCCAGGGCTAATGTGAAGGTGCCTGAAAGACAGAACCCATCCCAGAAAGAGACGTGTTAGAGAGTTTTAGCACAAGAGTCCATGTCTGAACTTTTACGTGAAATCACCCTTCCAGAAGCTGCCTATTTAGGAAGCGTTTGATAAACTGCAAGAAAATTAGGCAAAGATAGTTTGTGACAGCACCAGCGCACATTCAAGCTTCTGGTCTGTTGTCAGGTCCCAGTTCTCACTACAGCATTTTGGTGAAAACTGCCTTCCTAAGGCAGACTACTACGGTTAGGAGAATGGGTGGTAAGGCACAATGGCTACTCTTTGGCATTTCCACATCCATAAAGACTATCCTATTTCCTCCTCCTTCTTTCCTACAGGGCTTTCCACTGCAGGAAATAGAAACTATGTTCTCAGAAGTAGGAGCCACACTGGGATATCTGACACCTCCTACAAATGCAGGTATCGAGATAATATGCACACGCAGAAATCCATTTTTAAACAAGTCTGAGTGTAAACACTCAAACGATTCTGAAGACTAATCTGAAACTACAGGGTAACCAGATACAGCTTTGCAGAAACCAAAGCCAACAATAAGGAGAAGTATGAATTGTTGACGTCATCCCTGAAAGCGTAGAAAATAACAGTGGGCAGAGAAACACCTGCTCATTTGATGGCTTTGCAGGGATTTTGTTCAGTCGGTGCCCACTTGGTGACTGTGCTCTAAAAACCAGTTAAAGGAAATGAACATCCACTTGGAAAATTCTCAGCTGCTGGGATGAATTTACATTAAGTTCCTTTGATGATAATTGTACAGAATCAGAAGTATCGTGTACAAGAGGTTTTGTTTTGCTTATTTTTTAATAAAAGCAATTGTCACACCAGTAAGAGAAAGCTGTTTGAGTGAGGGAGCCTGCCACTGGAAAGATGACTGAAGGGAACAGAGAAGAGAAGACTCAGACTATCAGAGCATATGGAATATGGATAAATTAATTGGTGTAGGGATATGTATGCATACATGAGTGTGTTTCATATACCTAATTCCCTCTCATTATCTTCCTCCAATAACCAGCCTCCCATACGAATTCCCTTTTTTCAGTTCATGCTGTCTGCACTCAGGTTCAAAACCTGACTCCTTGTCTTCATCATCTTTCATATTCGAGTCTTTCCGTCTCCTCTCCATTCCTGCGTCTCCTCTTTCCCGACTATTGCAACAGTGCTCTCTCACCACTAGTCTCCACCCACTTACCAACACACCGAATTTCTAGAACAAGGTTCCTGAATCCCTCCACTACGCCAAAACGCTCAGCGGCCACCTGTGCTGGTCAAATGACTCCTTCCTCAAGGGAGTCGTCCAAGCGTGCTGTAAAGCAGCCCGACACACTTTAAATAATGCTCTCTTACCCAAACGTGCCCTAAAACTCCAAGATGTGTGCCTCGGCATTAATTATTCCCTTGCTGTGGAATACCCTTCAATATTTGGAATATCTATTCTTCAAGGTTGCATTAGAAGACACGTACTTGGATTAGAACATTTACTTTGTTTCCCTTTGTATAACGCCTGTTGGTTCACCTTATGAACTGTAAATCCTATACGGGAAGGAAAGGTGCTCTTCTCAACTTTGTACCTCCTACAACTAGCATGATGTCCTTCTCCTAATAGGTGCTCCTAAACTCTCTGTTGCATTGAAATGGCCAGGCATGGTCTGATAAGTAGATAAAATGAATGAGGATATAAGAAGTGGAAAGTTCCCACCCTAATTCAAAAATTACTATCTTTAGCAGTAAAAATTCCACAAAAGAATGAAATCATAGCCTGACCAGGTGAACCATATTTCTTCTTATAGCTTCATAACAAATAGAAAGAAAGAAAACTTGACTGCTCTGTATCTGAAAACTGAATAAAGATTTTGATATTTCCCAAAGTTGGTTTATGTTCAGACAGGTTGTAAATTTATAGAAATATTCATCATTACATTGTCATAAAATATAATTATTATTAATAATGATAATATGATGATCATTAATATCATAAAAATGCTTTGGATTGAGAAAGATTGATAATCCAAACCATAGTGGGTTATGTGCTTATCTCTTTTGTGAAAAACACCAAGGTATCAGGTAACATACATCACCACTGAAGATCATGATTCTCACACCCTGTTGTAACTTTCTAGTCCTGAAATTAGAACACTTAAGAGGAGCTCATGATGTACATGCAAAATAAAGGGAAAAAATTCATCCTTTAAAGCATCTCTAAATAGTTTCTGTACAAGTGCTGTATCTAAATTTAGACATGCACTTGGGGCATTGTACCAAAACCTGAAAAGGTATTATTGCTTTTTTTTTTTTTAACATACTATAAGTTGGAAAACAACAAAAAAAATCAGAATAAATTTAGTTGGACGTGTATTTTTGCAAATGACTTTTCATGCTTAGGACAATACATTGCAGTAAAAATAACAGCACAAGCTAGACATTATTATGCACATACTACGTGTCAGTCACTGTAGAGAGTCATAAGAGTGACTCTATTATTATCCTTATTTTAGAAAAAAAGAAATCTGAGTTGTTACAGTTTTCACTTGACACAAGGCAAGTGACTGATTCAAGGCCCCCGAACAGTAAATGGCCAAACTCATCGTCAGCCTGGCACTCACCACCCTGTAGTGCCTCCCTCATCTAAGAAAAGTTCTAATTCCTAACAGCATGAAACACGCAGCAGTGCACCAGAGCCAAAGACAATTTCCTTAGCCAACAAAACTTATCCTCAAGAAAAAGTATTCTCTTTTGGTTATGAACTGAAATGACTAATTATCAAGGACTGGGAATGAGATCAGAGAGAAATTGCCAACAGGAGACATAAAGGGGAAAAGACCAATAATTCTCACACAGGTTATGTCTGTTTAAACCACCTTCAAGTTTGATATGCTCAGTGATCTTCACTTAACTTGAACATCTCTTTAAATGAGAGAAACAATCTACTTTAAGTTTTGCCTTGAAAAAAAATTTTGATATGGTCTTGTTTCTTTGGACTGGTCCACCAGCTCTCTGGACTCCTCTTCTCCCTAGTCTTAGTCACTAATTCCAAAGCCTCTGAAATAAGATTTTTAATATGAAGTCAGACAAACATAACACTCTGCTCTCAAGAGAACATGGCACTCTAAAGGTACAAAATAGCAATCATACCTGCTTTCGTCCCCGAGGCAAAGTGGCCACAGTGTCTGCCAGCATTTGAATCCTCCTATTATCATCCATCTGAAGGCTGCCTGTGAGTGTAGAGTAAGAGCTATACACTGGACCAGCACAGTAGTCCACCACACTGCCATTGCTGCTCTGTTGCATGAGCTTTCGTAAAGACATTGTGAATCAAGATCACTGCAGCTAGCGCATGGTTGAGTGGCCTTGCAGGATGGGGGAAGCTAAAAGTATAACCCTCTGACAAGTAATCAAAAGTAGCAAAGCAGAAAAAGCCCATGTGACTTCTGTGGTTTGAGGTACTTGTTACACAAACCCTATCTTGCAGTTCACTCCCATTTCTCAATGCTTTTTTCTTTAAGTCCCTGGGAAATCTAAAGCAAGTTTTTACAATTAAAGAAAATCAGCTTTTTTTTTTTTTCTTCAAACAGCCAGAACTCTTGGGCTTTCATGTGCTACGACAAGTTGTGTTCAAAACACCATCTGCCTTTTTTTTAAAAGGAAGATAGAAAAACTTCCCCAAGTTCTACCATTTGTTTCCCATCCATTCTCTTACTTAATATTAGTAGTGCAGTGCAAAAGTTAGAATGTGCAGACATTCAGTTCTTATGAATATAAGCAAGAATTACAGGTTCCAGTCATAATGTTCTCTTAGGAAGTCCTTGTAATGTGCTTTCCACGAAGTACACCCTAGCTCATTAATGTTCATCAAAGAGACATTATATCTGCCACTTGGGTTGTAACCATTTAGCATTCTTCTGGTGTCCTTCTACTACATTTTCCTGTCTAAAATGATCTATCTTCTTAAAAAGGTACAATGCGAGAAACGAAGGCCAGCACATTTAGGACACAAAGTTGGCCGTATTGTACAATGAACTTTGCTGTAGCATCAGCAAGTAATCTTGGAAGAAGAAGAGAGTTGGCAGGAAGGTAACAGGCAAACCAAAGTGGCACAAGGATGTTTCCAGTTGGTCTCAGTATAAGCATATGGGTTAAGGACACCATCAAAAGTTTGGCACATAGATACTTTTTGTGTGTATGTGTTGAGGAGGGTGAGCAGGTAATTTTGAGAGAAATGATTTCAGGCGAGGGGCAGAGGAGGCAAGAAGAAGGAAGCATCAAAACAAAAAGAGAAATTTTGTATAGTACAGAAGGTCAAATGTGATTTTCAAAATCATTTTGAAGGTCAATAGTAGAATTTAAAAGTGTTGGAAAGCCTTTGAACTAAAATGGAATGTGAGTGGATTAGAAGTCAAGGTGAATTAAGCTCAAGCAGAGCTTGCCAAATGTAAATAGTAAAATCTTCTGAGTTAACAATTCTTCAGGAGATGGTGCCAACTCAGAAATTTTTAAAACCCTCTCACAGCATGACTCATTATTGGAATTGGGTTAGACTTAAGTAAATTCATGTCTCCAAAAACGTATAAATATCTAAATGAGGAACTGCAGTGCTACAGGGGCAAGGTGGGTAGCATAAATGTACATAATTGTTTAAGAAAAAAAGGAGTGGTAGAGACTTTGGCAACTAAAGAATACATCGATTATAAATGTTTCCGTATACTAGGGATAAATGGATGGATGGATGGATGGATGGATGGATACATCAATACATAGATACATGTTGTTGTTGTTGTTAGGTGCCATTGAGTTGCTTCTGACTCACAGTGACCCCGTGTACAACAGAACAAAACACTGCCCCATCCTGGGCCATCCTCAAGATCATTGTTATGCTTGATTGATTTTAAAAACATCTCCAGGATGCAAGTCATGTGACTGAAGTCAATACTATCCAATGAGGACAGCAGTCCACCTGTATTCTAAGAATTTTAAAAAGTTAGGTAAATAGTTTTAATATTTCAAAACGCTAAATGCAAATTATACACTTGCATTATATAAGATCACATAGGCCAACTGATACATTAAGTTTTATAGATGGGAACTAAAATTTTATCAATATAGTGTGTTCTACTAAACTTAAATTGATGTAAATTATAGAAATCTTGGCTGTAATCTTAACAGAAGCAGAGCTTCAGGCCTTTCTTCCCCGGTACATGTTAATAGTGGTTACCTCTGGAGAAGGAGTTGTGGGAGAAGGTCAGAGGTGGGGAGGATGAAGGAGAACTTGCAAAGTTTATTCTACGTATGGTTTGAATCTTATACAATAAGTATGCGTTCATGTATTATTAGATCAACTTTAAAAATGCCAATTAGTTGCAGATATTTTTGAAAAGACAATCATATTTTGTTTATAATCATATCATGAATTTATAGGTCTTCATACTTCTGTTTATGCTTATTGATGAGAATCATTGGTACATCAACTGGATGTTCAGTGTTTATTGTCAGACTAAGATTTTATTTTGCTTAATTATTTTTTTCTCCTTAGAAGTAATCCCTTCATATTTCCTTATCATTTTCTTCTACTAAAATAAAATTCCTCCTCAAAAAAGGTGTGGTGACCCCTGAAGTCTTTGTAAAACCGAGCAATAGTTTAGCTTAACTTGTAAAGAATATCTGTCTTGAGCATTGTGCTCTTTTTTTTTTTTTTAAGATATAACAAGGTGCTTTAATTTATTACATACTTCACATTATGAAATCTTTTCAGTATGATGTACTCTCACGCAATGTTGTGAGAGGAAGACACTGTGCATGTGTAGCACAGAGAGATCTGGGTTTGACCCATGTAAACTGGAGACTAAATTGTGTTTTCATTCTAGGCACTGGCTACATTTACTTTTTTATGTTTGGATTCCAGTGTCTATGAGTCATTCTTCAAAACAGCTACTAAGAAAATGTTCTTTCAAACATAATTTCCAGGAGAGAAACCTTCTTGGGGAGATATTTAATAACTTCTTTAGGAAAATCCAGTGAACTCATAGTAAAGCCAATTCATGGAAAAACGGAATAAAATTACACACGACAACCACTTCCCAAGAGCATTCACTGCATCTGAGATGGTCGAGCTGTGAAGCACGGAGGAAATTATCTTCCAATCCATGTCCTATTGCTCTTCGGTGGATTCTCTCTAGCCATGCGTCTGGGTTGTCCTCACTGTGCCCAAGCAGAGATTGTGTAGGAATTTTGCAGGAAGATCCGTGACAACTCGTGGAAAGAGAGCCCTGGAGCAAAGTGTGGAAGGGGACAGAGGTTATCTCTGCCATCCTCCAGAACTTGGCTCACCTTAAAGAGAAACTTTACACTCAGACGGCTGAGGGAGGGGCGGGAGAGGCAGTTTCATGCTAAGTCTTGCTGAAACTTCATCTTGAGTTGTTGAAAACTTATAGAAAATCTTTGAAGCACAAAAAAGAAAGTTATTGTATCATTGCAATATTTCATTTTCTATTTGGAATTGAATGCATGTGTGTCTCATATGGGTTACTGGGTTATGCCCATGTTTAGCAGGAACCTTATGTCAAATAGAGTAGTTTGAGAACATGTACAGAAAGAGGTGATGTGATAAAGGTGATAAGATAAATTTGTTGCTGGGCTCAAGGTGTGTGGGTTTCAGCTGCAACATTTTGTTAGGGCTTTTAGTCCTTACTATTTTGTTTTTATTTATTTATTTATTTATTTAGGTTTCTGTGGTTTAATGATCAAAGTAGCAAAGTTTATGATTGATTTACTACAGCAATCAGTATCAATTATAAAACTGAATGAGCAGGACACCCGGATAACCGGGCTGTCATTCTGCCGTGTGCAGACTTTTTTTTTTTTTTTAATTGTACTTCAGGTGAAGGCTTACAGAACAAATAGTTTCTCATGAAACAGTAGGACACATATTGTTTTATGACATTGGTT